GTTTTATTACTTTGGAAATATGAGGCATATCATGTCTAGTCTTCCTTATTTTTTCTTAATATGCCCTTGAAGGAGCCACAGAAATGGAAATGTTTCAAGCCTCAATTGGAGGAGCAGATGTGTTAAATTTGTAACACACAAATTCTTCTTCCTAAGTGACTATCAAGCAGCTGAGTTAAATCAGTGGTAGCAAAGCCAAGCAAAAATAGTTGAACAGTCTGAATAAAAATTCCTTCTCTTAATTAGGTTTTACACTTTGGTACTCTGCATGTCTACCCTGGTATTCCTGGAAGACACTGTAGGTACCTAGCATGATGACAAGTCTTAAATTTCTAATACAATAAGTCAGTGGTTCCCAAACTTGTTCCGCCTCTTTTTTGCAGGGAAAGCCCCTGGCGGGCCAGGCCGGTTTGTGTACCTGCCGCGTCCACAGGTTCGACCGATTGCGGCTCCCAGTGGCCGCGGTTCGCTGCTTGGCCTGGAGCAGCAAACCACAGCCACTGGGAGCCGCAATCAGCCGAACCTGCGGACGCGGCAGGTACAGAAACCAGTCCGGCCCGCCGGGGCTTTCCCTGCAGAAGTGACGGAACCACTGCAATAAGTTGGGGGGGAGGTGGAGTGTAGGGAACCCTGTGCAGAGGAGCGCCACAAGCCATGCATGCTACAGATTGGCTTTCCACACACAACCATGGAAGGGATATTGCAGATGAGTGGCAGGAGCAGGGAAATAAGTACACAGCAGACCCATTGGCACAAATTTTGAATGGTTATTGGGGCACACATTGGCCCATAGTTTATTCATCAGTGTAGAGTAGTTCATTCAGGACAGAGACAAACTCAATTCCACACTGTCAGTCATGCTGCTTTCATGTTGATTGGATCCACCTACGAGTCTGTACTGATGGTATTCCCTTTTGGCCAATGCAAGACATGCAAACAGCTCAACATATGAAGAATCATTCCACAGAGCAGAGCTGTGGTAATGTGTACAGTGGTGAATTCCCTTGTTTCCATTCTCCTTTGTAGATTGAGACATTGTGGCCTCCTGTGTCACTAGTGAAATGCTCTACTGTCAAATTGCTTAATTTTCATTTTGGAAGATGAGATTTGCAAAGCCGCTGAATCAAGCAGCTGGAATGTGTGAACAGTCAATTGTTGTGATGGTGGCAACTTCACTAACCACCTTGGAGAGGATACACGAACCTCCAGATAGTATGAACATTATATCAGTGTGGATGGGGAGTGTCAATTATCAGATTGCTTCCTAAATCCTGGTTCCTTTCACTAAGGAGAGAAAATTGTGTACTGTCTACAGACAGTAAAATTGTTTGTTCTTCCACCATATTATACGTGCTGTCCCATGTCTCTTTACCGGCAGACTGAGTCAGCAGGTATACAGCGTGCTCAGATTCAGAAGGAACTTTGGAGAATTCAAGATGTCATGGAAGGTTTGAGTAAACATAAACAACAAAGAAGCTCTACAGAGGCAGGTAAATGGGCTTCTTTTATTAAACCACATTGTACTTCTAGGAAACAAACTTTAATTGCTTTTTTGCTTGACTGAAAACTCTTTGATGTCATAGTTGCTGGAAACAAGTGTAACTGAAATTATTTACCAGTTGAAATTAGAGTGTTTAAGCCTTTCGGTCAATACAGAGGCAGGCTTTTGTTCTAGTTCATAAATAGTTATTTATTGTAAACCGATTTTCATGTTTTTTTAAACAGGTATCATGGGATCAAAGGCTTTTTCAGCTATTAAGTGTAAAAATGAGGTATGATTTTAGTAGTTTTATATTTTAGCATCAATGAATTTCTGAATTAAAAATTATTGGCTGACTAAAATTATTTCTGAACTCTTCTAATGGTATCAGAAATGTGTATTCAGTATATTTAAATTGGCAGATCCATTACTGAATTATTGGATTACTTTTGAAGGTTAAAGTCCCATATAGTAATTCTAAATTTTTCATTTCTTCTGTGACTTCATATTCTTACCAATTCATGATTCTGTGTCCCCATTCCTCACCCTTTTTTGTTCCCAGGCCTCTACCCCAAAAGTGTAAATCCTGATTTTTTTCCCCACACACACACATTATGGAGAGAACAATTATATTGTTTTACATCTCTCTTCATATATAAAGCCTGGTTCGCAGATGTGCCGAGCACCCCAACAACCGATTAAATCGATGACAGTTCCAAGTGTTCAACCCATCTGGAAATCAGGCCCATAATGTCTAGAAAGCATAGCTTTAAAGGGACACTGTCAGCATTGTGTTACACCCAAAATTTAAGCTTGGTTTATAAAGGTTATAGAAAATCTAATATGCACCAAAATCTTTTAATAATATTGAATTTCAATTAAAAGGGTGGGGTAACAAAATCAGTATGCTTAGTCACAAGAGAAGCATGTCCGTGCATGAGAGGCAGAAAGTACAACAGATAGAAATGAAAGCATAACTAGCTGAGTGAGATGCAGAAAGTAAATGGTGAAAATGAGATTTGAAAGAGAAGTATTTCAATCTCTGAATCTAGATGGTGTTAGTAAAACAATGTTGCTTGTTAATATATCTTTTTAGTATGACAGTGTCCCTTTAATTCCAAAACACAAAGCTTGTATAGCTACAGTAATATACTTCGTAAAAGTTATAAATAATTGTAAAAGGTGTGCATATCTAAATAAGGTGACTATTCTACAATCTTTAGGAAGAGGAAGTAGTCCCACCTCGTCCTCCACTCCCTCGGTCCTATGACTTTACAGAGCATCCTCCCATAATCCCCTCTCTGCCCAGTGATAGCAGCTCCTTGCTCTGTTATAGTAGGGGCCCAGTACATCTGCTGGAAGAAAAGAAGATTCACCAAGTTCAAGGATATCAGAGAAATGGATCTTACTGTGTAAGTGGCTAAAATTGCCACAATGTACGTCAAGCATTTCCCCCCATCCACTGCACAGTCACTTTTATTTTGACATCTGGCTACTTTTGTGCTGTGTAATTTGTTTTTGGCTAATTAGTTTTATTTCTAGCTGCATCATTTGCATCTGACATTTTTTCATCAGATATACCATGCTTATAAACGTGTTTTAAGAATCAAACATCAAAACAAGACTCTCACGGTGATTCGATACATTTTATTCACTTTTTCAAAATCAGGTTTTTCTGAACTCTTGTTATACTACACAAACCCCAGTCCTGGCAATCATGTATCTGTTGAAGCCTTTTATAGTTAGTTTTTGTTTCTTGGGGTTAGTGTTGTATAATAACGGTAAACTTTCTCCTTCACATCAGCCAGACTCAGTTTATATAACTTTTGAAAGTCGGTGGCAGTTTGTTTCATGTTAATTGCAAAATGAATATCGCTGCACCAGCCCCTGAACAATGGAGCATTGGCTTACAAAAATAATATATTTAAATGAGAGCAAAATCAGCCGCAAGATTACATTGTTTGATTCTTAAGATACTAACATTTAAATGATAAATCAGTGTTCGTTACCTTTTACTATTATCATCTTCTAGGGTCCAGATTATAGACTTTATAAGAGTGAGCCAGAGTTAACAACAGTGGCAGAAGTTGATGAATCTAATGGTGAAGAAAAGACAGAACTAGTTTCAGAGTCAGAAACTTCTACAACTAAAGGTTAGTGCCAAGCATGTTGATTTCCAGCCTGTTTTTCAGTCTTTCACAAGGAGTACAGAATATTATAAGTGCCTTGTAGAAACTGTTATTTTATTTGTGTGTGTGTGTGTGTGTATATATATTTGTGTATGTATGTGTATAATATTTATTTCACAAATAGCATGTCCATTGCTTGATGCAAATGAAACCGCTCCCACAATAAAATGCTTTAGTTATACAACAAGAGGATTTCAGTCAATCAAACCACAGAGAAATGAAACATTACACTTAACAACAACCCTGAAATCCTTATTGACACTGTGTCAAATCATATCATTCATGTCCCACACACATCACTCCCTTGAACAATTACCCATTTTCTGTCCTTGCCCTTACGTGTTTTTTTAGTCCAACTCGCAACAGTATGTTTTAGAATGTCCAAAAAAGGCAGCATCACAGAATTCTCAGTCTCTCTCAAGACAAGGAAATAATGTGTTTTGGTTTTTTTTTAATCTTGTAATTGTTGAATTGCCCTCTGTCTTGTGATACAATAGAATTAATGTTATTGCCCTTGGAATATACTCATAATAAAGGTCTGTGCTGTTGCTGAATGCCTCAGTTTCTCTTCTTCATATAGTCCCCATAAAAGCTATTAATTACTTGGTAGATTCCTTCACCGTGAACACTCACTTAAGGAATCTAATACTCCTTGTTAAAACATGTAAAATAGCTTTTTAAAAGTTGTGTTTGGAAAAGGCAGTTGTCAAAATCCCCTCACTTTAACAATATGTGCTGCACCCCCATTAGCCAAATTGAAAGAACATTCAAGAATGATGTCTTAAAATCAGCCTCTTCCCACCCCTTTAGTACCTGCAATGTTCAGTGCCAGTCAGGTCACTTGGCTTCTGTTCTGATGTGATGACTCAGCATGCACATGAGATGCTGGTGTTATGGGACTTGGCTGAATGTGGTCTAAAGGGATTTCATTAGTTAACTTGTAGTTTTATGTTGTATAGTTTTGAAGAGTTGAAAATGCATTTAATCTCTGTGGATTACCTCACTCACCTTATCGCTCATAAATAATTTGTCTGTCTGAGAAAACAGGCCTCACTTAAGAAAAGCAGATAATAAGCTGCCTATCTTATATAGATGGCACTTAAAAAAAATAGCTACAGCCTCAGTGTGGCAAATGAATGGGAGATTCTTCCTCTTACCAGTAGATTGAGATAATTTTATTGTAGCTCTTACTGTTTATTCCACCCAATGAGCACTTAGTCTTCTAATGCACTTAATTTAGTCTAGTTCTCTTTACTCAAAAAATCCCAACGGCATGAGGGAGAATATAAGCAGTCAGTTTTTCTTAATTGTCTACATGCAGTAACAACATATTGCTTATACTTGTATTTGTATTGTTTCAGTTAACCTTTCCATACCTTCGTATCCCAAACAATTTCAGCAGAGCTGAACTTAAAAATCACACATCTAAAATTGTATTTTTACAATTTTAACAAACCACATCTAAGGGCTTGTCTACATGATGGTGTAACACACACTAAGTGTGATTTCTATAGTGCACTAAGGTGTTATACATTAATTGGTCCATATAGACCATGCTTGTGGGATCGAAAGGTTTACAGTGCCCTTTAACCCAGCACTATGTTAAAGCACACTGGGAACCTTTAATGCACATCAGCAGGGTCTGACGAACTAATTAATGTGCAACACCTTAGTGTGTTTTAGAAATCCCATCACAGTAGTGTGTATAGCCTTACCATGTAGACCAGCCATAAGATGACTATAGCCACATGTAGTGGTTGCTACTGCAATAAAATAATAAGAGATTGGAAGGGAACATTTTATTTCTTTTTTATTTGTTTGTTTTGTGCACTTTACAGCACTAGTTATTTTTAATGTTTCCCTCTGTCAATTATTTTCCTTTCATTTGTCCTTTGCCCTCCAAGAAAGAAAAAACATTTTAAAAATAGGAATTTGTGATTGTAAAACTCTAGAAATTGGAGACCAGTGACCTGCAAAGGAGAAGAAAAATAGGCTTGTGCCCTTTCTTTTACTGATTTGATGACTAAAGAAGGCCTGAAGGGTTTATTGAAATGCGTTTGTGTTGGTCAGATGCTCAGCATTCCTTGTGCAGTACAAGTTCAGGTCCTATCTAGTCTATTTTGTTTTAAAAAAGAAAAAACTTCCATGACTAATTAACATTTTGGATAAAGGAAGCTTTAGTTAAAGATGCATCCACCCACCTCTCCAATTATGACAGTAGCAATCTGCTGAGATCTACAAGAGTTCTTCTAGCCAAACCAAAGACCACAGCTGACATTCCAGATATTTTCAAGGGAAAAAAACTTGCAAAGGGACAAAAAATTGTGACAGCCCAAACAAATCTTTCGGGTTTTCTTTATGTATCATGAAGAAGCAAAACAGAAGCAAGCCTAATTTTTAAACAAATCCTTTGCTGGTCACATTTAACATACTGGTTAAATACTGACTAGATTTCAGTTTGACTGGGTTTATTTACATAGAAAAAAATGCAGATATACTAGTTAGGCATCATGACTTTTATGGTAAATACAAGAGTGGTAGCCTATCAATTAATGACTTCACATCCTAACATGTTTTCATTGGAAAACAATACAGTATTGTATGTGCCATTTTGCATAACACTTAAGACGCTGTTTTATTACTTTATAGGTTCACATTTTCCTGTTGGAGTTGTCCCTCCCAGAACCAAATCACCAACTCCAGAATCGTCAACAATAGCCTCTTATGTCACTTTAAGGAAAAACAAGAAGATAGATCTAAGAATGGTATTTAAAAACAATTTGCAAGCATCGAGATTTACAACAGTGTATTTGTTTTCCAAGTTTAATTTCTGGATCTTTAGTTACTTTAAAAGCTTTATCTTTCATTTATTTTAAAACATCCCACTGGCTTAAACAGTACAATAAAATGTATTACCTTAGTGCATTCAGTTCATAAGTAAGGAATGACAGCATTTTAAAATTCACTTATGCCAGAACCCCCATAGACTTCATTACATTTGAATTGGTAAAGTGCTAAATGTTTGTGATAAAAGCTACTGAATAATTGAGGACTTAAAATCAGGCTCTTTGATTTTTCTAGTGGTCGCCAGTATTATTGCTAAACTAGTTTTGAATCTATTGCCAGTGGGTCATCCCCAATACTGAATTAAAAGTACATAAAGTCCTGCCTTTTAGGCTTGGGTTTTCAAAGTGCCTTTCTTGTTGTGGGGCAAAGGGACAGCATATTATTAACCTGTGTTGGTAAATAGTTTATTTTTGGGTTGAGAAAAAAAATTTTTTTGAGACATCTGAAATGATCAGAACAGTTGAAAATACAGTGCATAGTACTGAACCTCTTGTGATTTTCAGATGAGATGTCAGGTAGTGTGGGATAAAGGAAGAAGACAAAATGACTAAGATAGGAAAAGGGAGCAGGGAATAGAGAAGACAGAAGGGAAAACTGACAGAGGATTTTAGGAATGAGGATGGAGGCAGAAGCAAGACAATAACAAGTGTGAGTTCAGAGAAGAGATTACTACCACTTTTGAAAAGACAGTATCCAGACTTTTTGTGCATGTTTGGGAAATCAGAGTCCACGACGACAACCGTACTCTAGTCTTCAACCTTGTCTGTAGTATGAACATTTTCTATTACTACTTAATACAGTTTAACTGTAATCCTAGAACAAGGTGAACCAAGTCCAGAACCATTCAGAAAACAGCTTAAAACCTTTAAATGCAGTTGCAGAAATGGTGCTGAACATAGTTTGTCTTGGTCTATGCTTGCAGTTAAATTGTGTCCAGCTGTACCCATTCATAGAGTTTAAGGCCAGACGGGATAATTAGATTATCTCATCTGACCTACTGTATATCTCAGGCCATTAAAATTAAGTTTTAAGGCCCAAAGTACCCCTGTACTGAGCCCAATAACTTGTGTTTGGCTAAAGCTTATCTTCCAGAAAGATATCTTGTCTTGATCTGAAGGCTTCAAGAGATGGAGAGTACGCCAGTTCCCTTGGTAGTTTGTTCCAATGTTTAATCACCCTCGCTGTTGAAAACTTTTGCCTAATTACTAATTTGAATTTGTCTGGGTTCAGCTACCAGGGGTGGCTTTTATTTTGTCTTTCTCTGCTGGATTAAAGAGCCCTTTAGTGCTCAGTTTCTCCCGGTGAGTACATATACATTGTAATCAAGTCATCTGTCCATCTTCCTTTTGATAAGGTAAACAGATTGAGATCTAAATGTCTCACTGTAAGGAATTCCTCCCCCCCCCCCCCCAGGCTTTTGAATATTTTTTGTGGCTCTTTTCTTTACCACCTCCAATCTTTCAACTTTTTTTAAAATGTGGACATCAGAACTGTATGCAGTATTCTAGTAGTCTCATCAATGCTATGTATAGAGGTAAAAACACCACCCTACTCCTACTTACTCCCCATCCCTCTAGGTGTATACGTCCAAGGATCACGTTAGTCCTTTTTTGCCACATTGTTGCTCTAGAAGATCAGACTGAGTTGCTTGTCCACTGCTCAACATGAGTTCCCAATGTGATGCTGTGGAGAAAAAGGCTAATGTGTTGCTGACACCTGTTGTCAGCAATGGGTAATAATTTTTCTAGTATAGACAAAAGTTACTGATACTTTTTAGCTCATTTGACAGCAGATTAGCAACTACGGTGCTGGTATATTTTAGGAATTAGGTGTGAGGAAACAACATATGGATGCCAAATGTATGATGGTTCTTCGAGGAATGTCCCCGTAGGTGCTCCACTTTAGGTGTTCATGCGCCCTGTGCTTGTAATCGGAGATTTGTGGTAGCAGTGCCTAGTTTGGTTGTGCACGCGCCATCGCCGTCTCACACTGCTCCAGGCAGTTACATAGTACTGTGCAACCAACTGTCCCTCAGTTCCTTCTCTACTGCCTTTTGCCTGGAGTCAGAGCGATTAGCAGTGCCCTCACTTACCTTTAGATAAGATATATTTTATAGTATACTTAGTAATTAGTTTATCATTGTTACTCTTTATGCTTATTTTATTTTAAAAAAAAAGTCTCCCTTATTCCCCTCAGTAGGAAAATTAAGTTTAGGCTTCCCTAGAGTTACTGCTCCCTTCTTATTTGGGACAGAACCTCTCCACGTGCCCGGATTGCCGAGATTCAAACACTGCCTGACTTGCAGACTGTCAATCCCTATCTCTGATAGACATGCACAGTGTGTCTGCTGTCTCGGTAAGACACACATTCCTCAAAAGTGTCCACATTGCTGTGATCTCATGGCCAGAACAAGAAAAGTTATGGATCTTCAACTTAAGCTCCTTATGATGGAGAAATCTCTGATACCGGCCTCAAACTCTGAGTCGAGGACCCCTCTGGACCAACAGTCGCCATCATCAGCCCCTACGAAAGAGACTTTACCTAAGAAGTTACTAAAAAGCAGGCTCAGACTTCATCACAACTGGAATTAGCTACGAAAAAGCGATCCCCTACCTCCAAGTCTACCTCGGTACCGATGGCACTGAGCCAAGACGGTCCAGTACCACAAGTTTTCAGAGAGCCAAAGACCCTAAGCGGGCAAGCTCAAACAGAGGCTCACAGGGCAAAGTGAAACCCTCCACCTCGGTACCCACAGAGCTGAAAAGGCGCTCCACACCACCTGCGGTACTTACACAGCAGAGCACAAGATCCTTGGCACTGGCAGCTACTACTCACACTCTCGTACCACCAGCAATGCCAACATTGATACTGATGCTCACGGTACCACACCAATTCCTGAAACATACAGACCTTCTGGTCTCCTCAACACTGGAATCTCCGCTACTCGGTACCGATGGTATCCATCTCGATTGGTACCAAGCTGGCTGACCACTCCACCTAGGTCAGCTCCCCCTCACTCTAGTGATGATGACGACGAGGATGAAGGGGTGATGCATACAACTCATCACTCCTCACCCAAACTTGGACCAATCCACCAACCAGAGTACCACTCATCCTCAGAGGCACATCGCTGGTATGGGCACCTGTGGGCACAAACACACGCCATGCCATTCCCACCAAACTGGCCCAGTTGGGATCAGTGGGCAGTATACAGGGCCCAACATCATAGCCCACCAAGATCAAGAGCACCATGGTCACCTATCCCAGCAGCATCAAAAACACAAGAGGGGGTGACTGAGGAAACCTCAGACCAGGAAGCATTACCAAGAGTGAACCTGTCCTCTTCATCACCGGATGGAAGTATAATGCCCCCACCACAGGGGATGACTTCAAGCAATTCCAGGAACTCTTCAAAAGGTGGCATAGACCTTGGGCATATCACTAGAAGAGGTACCTGAATCACAGCATAAACTACTAGACATACTTCAAACATCTACCTCGGCAAAGGTAGCATTTCTGATCAACGATGCTATTATGGAGCCTGCCAAAACCATCTGGCAGACACCAGCAACAGCACCCCCATCATGCATAAGATCAGTCAAGAAATACCATGTGCCATCTAAAGGAGTTGAATTCTTATTTAAACACCCCATACCAAGCTCACTAGCAGTGGAAGCAGTAAATGGCGAAAACAACCCGTGTGACCGAGATTGGAATAAGTTAGAACTCTTCAGCCACAAGGTGTATTCATTTGCAACACTGCAGTTTCGCATAGCTAATTACGAGGCCCTACTGTCCAAATATACATAGAATTTTTTTGAAAATTTCAGAATTTATTGAAGAGAAAAAAGAACAGTTTAAAGCTAATATCGCCAAAGGTCATCTCATTGTCAGGACAGCGCTGCAGGCCTCTCTTGACTCCACAGACATGGACGTATGCTCCATCACAATATCTGTGGTAATGTGCCATGCATCATGGCTTCATCTCTCGGGGTTCCCCAGGGAGATCCAGTCAACAGACGAGGACCTGCCGTTTTAAGGCCCAAAGTTATTCACTGCCAAAACAGACGAGTCACTCCATACCCTTAAGGACTGAAGGGCAACATTAAAATCCCTGGGCATTTATACACCTGCAAATAAAAAGAAATGGCTGGTATTCTACCCAGAGATTCTGCTTGCCGTCGTACATGCAACTGCACAGGCAATATGACCAACGCTGCAAACAAAGACAAACCAGATGTCGACAAAACCAAAACGAACCTTCGACATCCCGGCAATCTACCTCGAGACAGCAATTTTGAAGGTGTGGTCGAGGACATGAGACAACCACACGCTCTAACGCTGGAAACTGGGACTATCTCCCGAACATTCGGAGATCACCTGTCACCAAGTACCAAGTCTGGAACACCATCACTACAAATAAATGGGTTTTTAGAAATTATCCAACAGGATTATTCCATCCCACCTACCCACCCCCCTTCCCTGGCCCTCTTCAGTGACCACTCTCATGAGAGTACCTTCCACAACAGGAAATAAACCACCTCATACACCTAGATGCAGTGGAACCATTACCAATGCAGCACAGGGGGAAAGGTTTTTACTCTCACTATTTTCTAACCCAGAAAAAGATGGGCGGGTGGAGACCCATTCTGGATCTAAGAAAACTCAACAAGTTCATAAAAACACAATGTTTCAAAGTGCTGACACTTAACAACTATAATTCCAGCATTAGAGAAGGGGGACTGGCTCTTAGCCCTCGACCTGCAAGATGCATATTTTCACTTTACCATCCATCCATCACACAGAAGATTCCTAAGGTTCACCCTGGGAAAACGACGTTTCCAATACAAATATTATCTTTCAGCTTGTCAACTGCCCCAAGGATTTTCTCCAAAGTTTTAGCACTGGTGGCAGCGCA